GGAGTAATTCATGCATTAAATGACTAGCATTAATTGAAAGAAAATAAAATCACAGTGGTGTGTTCTCAATGGTCTCTTGCACCATCTGGTGGAAACAACATTCAGGCTTGGAACAGTCTATAGGTTTGTTGTTGTTTTTTTCTGCCCATGAAGAAATCTTAACAAATCTTAACTTATGTTACAATAGGTTAATCTGTGTTCAAACACGGTCTCCAGATTTTCTTCACATTCAGATTAAATTTATTATCATTGCACAGTGCAACTACTAAGACTACAAAAAGATTATTGCAGCATCTGAACTAATTTGTTTAACTTTTTTCCTTAAAATCCATGTAAAGCAAAAATAATTATAATTTCTGAGTTTCCCACACCAAAGAAACAAGTGTTGACCACCCTGCCAAATTTGAATGTTATATTTATGTTATATATATATATATAAACAACAACAAAACATAAAAAACACCCACCCAACACACAAAAAACACTACACTCAAAACAACCAACAAACAACAAGAACTAACAAAAACAACGCAACACAATAATAAAAAAACAGTAAACAAAACTGAGACAACACACAACCCGTCCCACGTCACACCTAATCTCTCCCCTTGGCTTCACACAAACACCACCAACAAACCATACACATCCCAACCACACAAACACAGGTATACGCAGGAACCCGCGACACAGCTTCACGGCAGGCCATACCTCCGATAGATCCACCCCTAAAACCAACCAAAATTAGAAATAAAAAACCTCATACGACAATATTTAAACCATAAAAAATGGCCCCCTTCATTAAGAAAATGGCCCAAAAACACATAAAACATAATAAAAAAACCAGAATAAAAACATCCCAACACACTTAAACGATAACTACAAAAAAACCCCACAACACATTAATCAATCCAAAGCAAAACTGACTAAACTACTAAAATTCATTGAAACGGCACTACTAGTCACCAACTGCCAAGACCCAACAATATCAACCCACCCATCCAAACAAGCAAACCAACAAACCAACAACCATCCACAACCTCAATCACAAAACCACACACCCCACAAACAAACGACCACCACACAACAAACACCCACAAATTAACACCCTTACCAACACACCACTATACCCACAACCAGACCCCAGCACCCTCCACCCCCCGCCACAAACACCACCCACCACACCACACCAGAACCACAAACAAACTACCCACACCCACTCCAAACCCCAAATACCACCACACCCCACACCCCACCAACAACCAAACCATCCAACGGACAAAGCCCCCCAACCCCTCGGCCCAAAGAAAACAAAGAAACCGCAACCAACAAAAAAAACCACTCCGCCAACACCCTCCAACACCTCCACAGCCACCCCAGCGCCAGCCCAACCAAAACCACCACAGACTACCACCCAAACACCCCACAGACCAAAAAACAACACCAAGACCACCCCCCTACCAATTGAACACCAACGCAAACCTTAACACAAACACTCCCCCAACCACTGTCCCGCCCACTAACCACAACATCATACCAACAAACAAAAAAAAAAGCCCCCCAACCCTAACACACACCCCCCCCAACGAAACAAATTAACATTTCCAGAACGGAACACAAACCACTAAGACACACTACCCAACCTAACCCGCGCACATGCCCTTAACAAACCTACCACCCCACCACAACAACTATCCCGCAAAACAACTAACCAACCCAACAAAACAACCAACACGAAACACAAGACCTTATTACCGCCAAGAATACCAAAAGACCGAAACAAGCCTAATAGAAATCAGAAAAATACTTAAAATAAAACAGACATTCATCAACCATATAAAATCACATGATTTTAACATACCCAAAAAGAAACAGAACCAACACCACTATCCAACGACAGTCCCATAACCAACCAAAACCCACAACAATAGCCCATAAACAGACCGTTACCACCGAACACGATAACACACAAACCACCAAACAAAACAAAGCAAACATTTAACAAGCGCACAAAGTAAAAACACACACCCATCAAAACAGTAAACAAAACTCAAAACAACCCACCCACCCCCACCTCCTTACTCACCAAACCACAACACAACATGAAAAACAAACTCTAAAAGCCGTCTGCCCACCCTGCCCCAAGCCACTCCAAAAAACAAACGTCCCCAAACAAAGCATAACACACCAACCTTAATACACCTCAAAATCGATTCACCGCACAACTACAATCCTCCACACAACTCAAAAAAACAAACACACACCAAAACACCAATCAACACAAAAACCCACACACCAACCAAAACACACCCCACTCCCCAAACAAAAACAAAACAAAACAACCACACTTACGAAACACCACCCCCACCCCATCCCGAGCCAATCCACACCACCACAACCCCACACGACACAACCACACCCTACTCCACCTCCACCACCAACCACAACGCCCCCCCACCCACCGTACAACTTCGCCCAGCTGGAAAACACCACAAACAGAAACAAACCAAACTAAAACAGATAGAAAATACTCACAAAAACACCATTCAAACCCAAATGCATGACAAATTCAAAACAGAAAAAAACGACACGCAAAGATCATGTAAAGAACCATTAAACGAAACCTTACAATACACGGACATAAAAGAGTAGTACCATACACACTACCCCAGCCCCCGACGAAGAACAAATTCTCATCGACAACGACCTCCACAACCATACTGATAAACCTACCCCTCCCCAACCCCCTTCCAATAACCTTGCACGGACTACTCGCTCACCCTACCCGCCCTCCCCAGGTTTCCCAACCAACTAATCCACCAAACAAATTAAAGAGCGCACCAAATCTCCCGATTAGAAATGATCATAAAAACACCTTTCACGAAGACAGCTCATTCAAAATGAAAAGGGAGCTCAATACAGCAGAAACACCAAAGAACAACTAAACCTTTACCCCAAGTCCCCCAATTTCTAAAACCACCAAACAAAAGAATAGACCAAAATTGCAGACACATGCACGTGTGCTACAACATATAGATGAATTCAAACCAGAAAAAGATCAACCACATTTCGAAACCAAAAACTCAAAAACAAAATAAAACAGCCTCACGCACTACTGCACAAACTGAACTGGAACACCAGTCCTACAGCACATGCCTATCACCATGCGAAACACCCAAACAACGCCAGCACCTTCCCCCCTGGCATCCTTCAAACACAACAACTTACAGAACCCAAATATTCCCGACGCAATACCAGGTCAACACGCAACGTTCAGACCGTACGCTCGAATATCACTTTTTCTTTCAGTAACGCCAGCCACAAACAAACCACACAAACAACAAAAAAACAGCAAACTGACAAGCCCACAAAAAAACAACATCAAAAAAAAAACCAAAAAAACAATCAAAACAACAAAACCCTACGAACCAAACAAAAACAACCAAACACCCAACATAAAAAACCAACACAAAATAACGGACAACCCACCACCAAAACAAAAATTACAAAAAACCAAAATACAAAAAACATAAAAAAGCATAAGATGAGCACCACGATATTAATTATGTTCAAAAAGACAGAATTCACACCATAATTGAGTCCGTCCTACCAATTCACCATATAGTCATAATCTTTCATCAATCGCAAAACGAAAAACTTGAACATTTAATCTGACTGACACCAAGCACAACCACCATTCATCATTACTTACCAGTATATGACCACTAAGCTTCCGGATACACCAAAACAGGCGAAAGTACCACAATGATATATCAAGCTAAACAACTCAGACACTTTCCGCACTTGGATACATTCATTTACACAAAGGCAAACATACCAAACACAGTAAACGTTACTAACTTAAAAACCTAACAAAAAAAGAACAACAACAAGAAACAAAGATAAACTCCCAAATGCCTCTACCGTTAAGTGAATAAACGACCTCCCCACCTTTAAATTCACACGTGAATCATACCTAATACACAACCCACCAAGCATAAACAGACATGGTACTAAACTCACCCACCCACCCAACCCTTTAAACCAAAACACAACAGCCCCGAATATACACAATCAAACTAATACTTCTGCACTCATTCCCGATACCAGCCATACAAACCAGTAAAAAAAAAACAAAAAAAAAAAACCACGACCAACACACGATTACAGCAAACCAAACAAAAACCAAAAACAACAACACAGAACCGGACAGTCTGACAACCAACTGGTCTATATTGCTCGATTATCCTAACCCCAATCCAATTAAATCCAATCCCTACACACCCGCAATTACACGGCCAAACAACAAAATACACAACATTTAGGCTCACACAAAAAAAAAAAAATAAATAAAACATAAAAATACAACAAAATCAACAAAAACAACAATACCAAAAAATCCAACAAAGATCTACCGACGAAACCAAACTAGGAGAAAACAAACAATAATTTACAGTATAGGCCTACTCTTTTATTATCAGACCTATATAAACTTCCAATCAATATCTAATAAAAAAAACAAAGAAACAACCCATACTCTATTAACCAAATAAAAAATATATATACATAAACAAATAAACTACCATAATC